ACGCATGTTACAGGCGTGAGGATGCGGGTGGAACAATCGAAATATGTATTTGAGTATGTTTAATATGCATGCCACGGTGCTGGCAGCCTTCATCCAAATGCCAAATATAAAGAATACAAACGGCGCACACAAAATCGAGCGAATACAAATCTATAAATACCCATACGCACACATACGCACACACACACACACACACACACACACACATACTGTAATCACATGGCAACACATAAATTCGAGTTAATGAGCAAAACTTTTTTCGACTATTAAAGAGAAGCAAATATCAAAAAAGGGATCTTAAATATTTGCGAACCAACATAATTATAATTACAACCGAACGCGGTCTGCGCCCCTCTCTGCGATTTTCATTAATTTAAGTAAGGCTTACTTTCCACTTTTTGCGCTGTCAGAAGTATTGCTTTAAAATTTGCAAGACATGAAAATATGCTAGCTTATATTTTATGTTTCCGTTTAAGTTGACTCAAATCCATAAGCCGGAAATCCGAAGCTAAGGATAGAGGAGCACCTCCCTACTTGAACATTTTACTTTACTCGTGTGTGCAGTAAAAGTTTTCTTTTGTTTTTGTGTCTTTTTAAATAAATCTTCAAAGTGTGACCAAAAAAACATGGTTGTAAGAAGCTCAACTTGAATCGCCCTCGTTCGGCATATAGAGCTCGAGCATTGCCCAAGCGGCACATAATCTCTGCAATTTGCGTGCGTTTTATGCGAATTTTGTTACTAGCATTAGTGGCTATAAAGCACACACACACACGCACACACTCACACGTGAGCATGTGTTTGTGCAACATTTATATGCAAATTGAGAGCATCCCTTAAAGCACATGCAGTATATAAAAGCATAAAGTAAAAGTCACTGCCATTACGGCTCCTGTGCATACTCAAGCAGGTATCACACATGAAAATATGTCAGGTTTTGTTGCCATTATTTCCGAACTTGCAAATAAGCATATTAAAGTAAGTTTTAAAATTAAAACAGGAGAAATTGAAATTAATTGTCGCTATTGTTAGTGTTGATTGAAGAGTCTGTGTGTGAAAATTAATAAAAGCTGACTATCAAATGGAGATTTTTTTCTTCTGGATGTCGCTTGCAGCTGGCTGTCTGGCTGTCTAGCTGTCTGTGCGGATGTATCTCTTTCTGCTGATTGGCAGCCAGCGACATCAACAATGAAAGCGTAAAAAAATTATCCAATTTAAAAGTCAAATGTCATTTTTTGTTTGCCGCCATTGCCATCACATTATGTGAGTTACCTAACAAAGGTGCCACTTCAGCTGCTGGTGCTGGAGCTGATGAGTTGATGTGGATGAGTAGGAGCAGGAGCAGCAGGAGTTAGAGGTAGATTAGCGAAGGCGACTACTGAGCACAGCTATGCATAAGTCGAGTAGAGTATGACAACAAAACTGAGCGACTTACCGCGCCTGGCAAGAAACATTTTATTTCGTTGGCAATAACAGAGCGAGAGACGGAGCGAGAGAGATGGCGAGAAAAAAAATTACGTGAATTTCATTTAACGGAGGAACTTTGTCACCAGTCGGAAGGACAGCCGCCTACCACGCGAATGCGTCGAGTTTGTTAATGTGTTTGCATAAATTTCAACAGCAACAGGGCAAAGTGAAAACTTGGCGTGTACATCAACAACAGCATATAAGCAAGTAGTCGGTATATCTATATGGATACATATATATGTATGTATATATACAGTACTCACATCTGGCTAAGACACAAAAACATGGCCGCCATCTGCCATAGGGCGCGACAGTTACTAGTTTGTTGGCGAAACTTTCCAAAGTCAAATCCTCGGCAACGTTGCATGACATAACTCTTATGATTCAATTTGTTTTAAGTTTGCGTTCAAAGAGCTTGTCGTCTTAGCATATGCCTGGCTGAGCATTAATCAGGCTAAGCGTAACCGTATGTGAAACATGCTGGAAATGTCATCAGCAGGCATTTCAAATGACTCTGCTGGGCAACCGAGTCTATAAACTGATCATCTTATCGTTATGCCTACCAGCAGAGTTATTTAAAAGCGAGTTTGTTGTTGGAAAGTCGTATGGAATGAAAAACATAAACTTTCCATTAACTTGGAATAGATTAAAGCAGGTAGTCATACTTGTATTCTTTGAAAATTATTTTAAAGCAGCTCGAACTAGTATTTAACTTTCGATTAAACAACATTTGAGAAACCTCAGACAACTTTGTTAATCATCTGCCTTCCTGCTAGGGAACCTTGGTCTCTTTGCTTTGATCAGCAAATAGTCAGTCGGGACAAACTCTTTTTAATATATAGGTAACAACTTAAGCTAAGCTAATCAACAGATGGGTCTGCGACATGTAACTATCTGGTAATTGTGGTTCAAAAGTTGAGGAAAGTCAGCTTGCACTTCCGCTCATTTGCAGCACTAAGTAGAACTGTTACTGCTACTGCTACTGCTGCTGCTGCTGCTGCTGCTGCTACTGCCACTCAATTTGAGCAGCTTGTTCTAAAAATGGCCACCTGCTGTGCTGGGCGCGGCAGAGGTTAAGTGCACAAGTTTGCCCCCTGGGTTTGGGTTTCGGGCGAATGTCTGCTTTTGTTTCTTTTGGATCAGCCACGTGTTGCCCTTGTCGCAATTTTGTCGTTTGCCGTAATGCATTAGCGCTGTCAGGGATTTCAAAGTTAACCAGGAACCGGAAGCGAAGCTTGCCAAACACGACACGAGAGTTTCAGCTTCGGCGTAACTGGCGCGTGGCTCAACCGGATATGGGTAAGGTTTTCAAAAAAAAAAGCAGCTCCTGTGCGTTGTCAAAACGTATCGCTTTCGTATCGTCTCCATATTATGATTAAAGCTTTTGGATTTGGCTACAATAAACACAAGAGGGTACGACTAGGATTTACCCTGAGCGCCGAGCGGACGTTTCTTCATTCTATTAATTAACGAACATTTAAGTTGAGCTGAGTTCTTTATACTTCTTGCCTTAGCCCCAGACTATGGTAAATGCTTTCTTGAATAACTTCGGTATTTATTGGGTATATTTTTAGGGCCTAAATATAGCATTCAAATATGTGTTAATACCAAAGCTCAAGACTTAAACCCCTAAAACGTCGGAGAAGAACTACGAGCATTAGGAGGAGTGAAATTTCAAATCTAAACAGGTTTTAACAGCTTATGGAAATATGTATTTATGCAACTGCTAGGAATTTTTCATCTGATACATTTAAGCAGTAAAAGGCTGACGTTTGATTCTTTTCAATCATGCTTAATTTATCAACCTTCAGATTGTGCTTTATGAATACAAATCAGTAAATTTTCAATCGATTCTTTGATTTGATTGCGCTGCAAAAGCCTGGGCTACAAATGAGAAAAACAAAAATATAATAAAAAACAACGCCCCAAGCGTTATTCAAGAATATTTGGCATTGTTTGTCGCGTTTCACTTGAGTTTGAGTGTATGAAACATATCAAATATTTATTAAATTTGCGCTCAGTTGCAACGTTTACACGTTTACACAGACGAATCGCGATATGCCCCACTTACTGCAATAAATTCAAGACGAAGAACAAAAAGCAAAGAAGATATCACAAAGAAAAAAAAATCATTTAATTTATAAAAACAATATATCATATTAAGAGAGAAGTCTAGACTTTGTGTTGTGTTCACGAATAACGTGTGCACAAATGTTTCTCCAAGTTCGCAGCACTAAAATTGGGTGTCAATTTCTCTTGCTGCTGCGAATTTTCATCTCTATTTATTTAGCATGCACACACACACATACATCTATATGTATAAGAGTATGTGCCATATGTGTGGGTGTATGTGTGTGTGTGTGTTCCTGGTTCTGTTGTTTGTGTCGGCTTGGCGCAATTTTTATGGATCATAAAACCCGAAATTAGAAACTGCCGCCACACACACACACACACAAACAGTGAGAGAGAGAAAGAGAGGGAGATAATGTTTATGCTGTGTTCATCCCAGCAAAGCGTGAAAATCTGGCAGTCCACTCTAAGGAACAAGCAGCAGCAGTAGCAGCTAAGAAGTGGATTTTCTTATTAGTATTACATTTAAATGGCATATAATTTGTTTGCGTCATAATATTTATGTAGGTTCTGTCGCTATCCCCCTAGCTGTTTGTGTACATACATATATTTATGTTCACTTGGCTGGCCGCTCGAGGGGACCGCAACAACTTCTGACAACGGCCGTGAGCGATTCGTATTTGTAACCATGGCATTTTTGTGGCTAGGCTGTGCCACGGTGCTCGAGTCCCAGGCTGAAAATCATCATGAATTTGCCATCTTAGAAAATGGTGTATAATTTGTAAGTGCCTGCACAATGCAGCGCACGCGGCGTATACGCAATGTTTAGCTGCAAATGCTTGCGAGAAATTCTATGCGTCTGTACATACAGACACACATACGTGTGTGTGTATGTGTTTGTGTGTGTTGTATGCATGCCTTGGAAAAACAAGAACAATTTCCTATTTATCTTGAGCCCTGTTGTTCTTGTTGCCTCAGTGCTGGCGTGCGGAAATTTTTAATTGCCGCTTTAACGGTAGCTGCCAAATGGCTTTCGCTTTTGTTGCACGTTTCCGTGTTGTTCTTTTGGCTCAGTTAATGCCACCGCCTCTGGCGCTGAAGTGCCTGTCATGTAACTGCCCTTTGCGCATTAAAACTGCGTTTTCTTTACATTCCCTCCCATTTATTTGTATACAGACACAAAAAGCGCGCGCGCAACAAAAGTGCGGGCCAAGATGTCCTTGAGCCAATCTCCTTTTAAGAACGCACAAGTAAATAAGAAAGAAAAAAATTAATATCAACAAAATTCGCATAAATCAAAGCAAATATTTTGCTTACGTTTTGAGATCCAAATAGAGCTCCTCAGGCGCAAACCGCCCACCGCGTTTGTAGCCTGCCCCCGCGGAGCAATCGCTTACACAAAGCGCGCATTCAGAGCGACTTGAAGGCTAATCATTGGATTTTCTTTTTGCTTCGCTCATTTCAGGTACATCAAATTGATATTGCAGCAGCGCAGCAGACGTTACGGCTACACGACTTGCAGCAGTTCGCGTTGGCAAAGGAAATGAGCTCAACAACCGCGACGCCGCTGCCCGAGGCACAACGCGGGCCCCAGCCTGGTTATGGCTGGCGCCAAGTTTACGCTGTGGCCTTTGAAGCTTAAAAAAACAAACAGCAACAGCAACAACGACAAGCACAACAACAACAACAGCCTGTGTCGAACATGCGTTGCCAAAGGTAACAATTTGTAGACAAAGCTCAATTTTACAAAGGGTCGATCGATCAGCCAGCAAATAGCCTAATAAAAGGGTGCACAGCTTTAAAGGTGCTCGCAATTGATACTTTAATCGTCTCTCAGCCGTAAATTGCCCGAAAAGCCAGCCTGCAGCAGCGCAATGACGCTGACAAAGCGGCACAGAGTTCCGATGCTGATGCCACTGCTGCTGCTGCTCCTCTTGGTGGGCATGGAAAAAACTCGAGCCGAACTGGAGCCTTTGTCGGTTTCTGAGCCGAGCACTGGACTCGATGAGGCACAGCCGGCGCGGGCTCGCATCAAAGCAAAAACGGAAAACATGTCCAGCGCCGGCGACAGCTTCAACATACGTCACGGTCGCTCGCGGGCGCACATGCTGCACAGCAGCAACAGCAACAACTACAGCAACAACAACAGCAACAATTACAGCAACAACAACAGCAACAACAACAGCAACAACAAGAGCAACAGCACGCGCTTGGCGCTGGTCAGCGACGCTGCAACATTAGCATTACCATTGCCACCGCCGACAGCCGCGCCCACACAGCAGCCGGGCGCAGGCGGTCTAATTGGAGCAGCCGTCACGCATAAAATACGCAAATTGCACAAGAAGAAAATCAATGAGAGCATACGCAAGAGCGTCGACAAGAGCCTGGGCATGGTGCGACCGGTGAAGAATCATCGCAGCCTGGCCGAGGCCGAGCATCTGCAGGGCCGGCCCACCGATGTGGATGACACGGCGGCGGCAGCGCTCAGCGAGGTTATGCAATTGGCGGACGAGATTGATTTGGAAAACTCATTAGAGTCAGCTTACCAGAATGTTGTCGTTGGCTTAAGCGACAAGGAGTCAAGGACGCCGGTCACCGAACCAGCCACGGCACTTGCCACATTACGGGGCACAGGTGCTGTCAAGGACAGCGGGGCCAAGGCTGGCATCGGTATCGCAGCTGGCCGGCAATTTGTGCGTGCCAACAGTGATGATGGCAATTATGAGGATAGCGCCGAGGACGAGGATGAGCTGTCAACCACGCCAATGGCAACATTTGCGCCTCGTCATTCAGCCGCAAATGGCCCGAGAAGTTGGCAGCTGCAGCAGACGCGAGTCGTGGGCAGAACCCGCCTGCTGCCAGTGAGCCACAACAACGGCAGCAACAGCAGACCGGATGCCACATCGACAGTTGCCCCAAATTTTAATTTACCAGTGGGCAGTGGAGCCAACACGTTGGAGTCTAGCGAGGCGGATTACCCGCTCGAGGGCTCGGATGGAAACACTGAAAATGCCGACGAAAGCGAAGCAGGTGACGACGTCGATGACAACGAAGATGTGACGGAAGCTTTCCATGAGCGTAGCAATAGCACAGAATACGCCATTGTCATCTGGCCGGAAACCGAGGCGGAGGTGCGCTCCCAGGCCAGCACAAGCCCACATGATAGTGTGGGCATGGAAATGAAACAGATAAACTTCAACTTCGGTTCGGAGTCGGAGTTGGAATTGGAGCCAGAGGCGGATGGTGAGCCAGTGCTGGATACTTCAGAGGTTACCATGGATGATGGCTATCCGCCGGAGGTACTGATTGATGACAACACCAAGCCGCTGGTCATTGACGATGTGGAGGGCGATGGCGTTGATTCCAATCAAATAACGGCCGATGTGATAAATGCCCGAGATAATAAAATTGACCTGGTATCCAAGTTTTTACAATATATAGAACAGCAGCATTTGATGGGATCCAATTGTGTGGCCGGCACCTCGCTCAATCTTGGCGAGGGTGTGGTCGACCGTTATGCACAGGATCGATTTCGTGTCGAGGCCGAGGTGGCCGTCAATCGCGCCAACATGCTGACCAGGTGAGTCAAAGTCAAAGTTCATATCCAACCGCCCCCGCTCCCGCACACACACATCCATATTATACGCTTGGCAAACTTTTCCAATCGAAACTTGGCCAGCGGCAACAGTCGGCGCAATGTGTAGCCAAGTGAAATGGCCACGCAAATGACCGGAACATAGCACATGTGCGTCCGGCTAGCGAACAGTTCCAGACAGAGTTCAATTCTTGGAAGCCATATGTCAAGTACAAATACCTTTAATAATGTCTGATAAAGTCAATTTTACCCACTGCCAAATTCCGTCTAAATATTTGTGGGTACATAAATTGTATGCAAGTCCTTGGAGACTCACACATATATATTTAACTAATTGCTGCTGTCAGTTCTTGTCATCTGAGCGTCTGGCAAACTTTATGTGTTTTCAATTGAATGTGAGAGAAAATCCCACTAAAGCAATTTATGTAGCAAACTATGATATTCCAATTCCCTGTTCGATTTTTGACATTTTCTTTGGTAAAGGAAAAATTCAACTTGTGTAAATCCTATAAATTATTTTACTTAAAATTAAAGAAAAAGGCTATATCAAACGGGCTTAGACTTTCTGGTGTAGTTACACTTTGAGAGAGCATAAAAGTTGTATTTACCAAAGCAAAGCCGATTACAGAAAGGTTCAATCAAGAAAGAATGTGTATCTTCGACGCGCCGAAGTTTAAATACTCTTGTAGAAAGCTGGCATACGATTTTGCAGATATACGGGTAACAAAAAAGATATTTATAAAGAAACTACAATTTTGACTTATCGTTCTTGACGGCGGTATATGATATAGTATTCCAATCCAGCCGATTCTGATATATATGCTGCCTGTTATTAAAAGTCGAACCTGTGCGCAGCTTCATGAGGATAGCTGATAAAACTGGGAGACTAACTAGCATATAAACAGATAGACAGGAAAAGGTTGTCAGTTGATACTTAATCAATATTAAATATATTCTATGGGGTCCGACCCTATATTTCTATAAAACTATATAAAATTATTATACACTCTTCAGGGGAAAAAATCAATCCATAAAATCAATCCCCAATTCCAAGAACTCATGATTCTATTTACATTATACTTGTTTTATACATTTCAATAGAAATGTACATAAAACTGTTTTGAAACCATTTGAATCAGCTTTGTAATAAATACAAAATTAATTTGAATGTATTTTTAAATTTATGTTTAAATTGTAAACACAGATACATTTTCGTTTGACTTTTTATTGGACTGAATGTTGTGCGAAAAATAGTTTCCGACATTCGGAGCGGTGGAAACTAAATGTGGTCATTGAGTAGCTGTAGAGTGCATAAGTCGTATTTATATATATTTGCATTGTATAGAATACAAAACTAGTATTATATATTGTTGTATAGTTGTTTGTTCTGACTGACTGATTGGTTGATGGACAGGCTGAATGATGATAAGCGCACAGCTCGAGTTGCAAGATATAAGTGCACATTGAAATCAGGTTTTGAAAAATTTCCACTCTCAAATGTAGAAAATTGGTGAAAGAAACTATTTTGCTTACTCTACGATTGGGCTTTTACCCATTTTCATACTTCTCTCAAAGTGGGCGAATATTCGAGTTCAATCCGATGTCCAGGGTTCTTGATGGAAATTCGTTTAAGAAGTCTAGGAGATTCAATTTGTCATGGATGAAAACTCAAGTAGGATTTGATCGGCTTTCAACTTGTTATTCATATTAAGTCATTACATAATGCTATGGCTATCGAGTGCTATTCACGACGTTTGCACAATTAACAACTACTTATGTTGGATGACAAGCTGGCGTTGAGTATGCGAGATTGCCTGCACTTCTGATAAAAGTTCAATTACTTAGTGAATGAGAAATAAGCGCAAAAGGTCTTTGGCAAAAAGTTGGCTAAAACAGACACACGTCACGGGCCAAGGGCTTTGATTTACTTTGACAACCGCAACAATGGCAATTCTTTTGGTTTTTCTAGGAATGCGCAGCTGTCGCTGTGAGTACGCCTAGTTTTTGCCCAGTTCACCGACAACATCGAACACTGGACGCTCTGGCAATCTCAAGGACATGCCATTCCCATAGATATTCGCATAGTCGCTATCGTGCCACTCGTAACCACCCCTGACCAGCAGCTAAGTCTGAGCGACATTTGTCCTTCTCTGTTGGCCAGTCGGGCACAATAAATACAAAAGTTTCGACCCACGGCGCACATATGTGGGCTCAAGTCCGCCTGATGTCCACTCGTGTTCTGCTCCATGGATGACTGTTGCTGTACCCACCTGCATGCGACTGTGTATGTGTGTGTGTGTGTGTGTATGTGTGTGTGCGCCTTGCAAGACATTAGACATTGAATATATGTGCGAGTTTCTGCGAAAAAAGCGTTTCCACTTTTTTCCAAACATGTTTTGGTTAGCTTCGTTTTCAGGGTCCGACCGTAAGGGGCAAAAAAAAAAATGAAAAAATAACTGAAATGTCTGTGAAAGGCAAGTATTCACTTTTTTTTTTGCCCATGGCTCCCACATAATTTGCTCGTGCCGATAAGAACTTTTTTAGATGAAGCTAACGAATGTGCGTCCCATAGCATTGATTAGAGGGCGCTCAAATCACAGCCATTTGCTCGCCCAAAGTAAAAGTAATTTATTAAAAGCCAGACACACAAACACAAACAACAGAATCTCAGAGAAAACAATTAACGTTTGTGTGCCGAATATAGAATACACTAGCTGATGTAATATAGAATGGATTTACGTAGGGTATTTGAACAGCTTTTAGATGAGAAATAAAGTCAAGGAATGAAAAAATTCAGTTTTTTTTATGATTTTCCTTGTGCTCTTTTCGATTTTCTGCCTGTTGGGCAGTTGCAGGCTTAAATCAAAATCAATCGCAAAATCCCAGAGCTAAAAAAGCAGCGCATAAATGGAAGCATAAAAAAAAGTATTCAGATTTTTTAAAAGTTAATTGGAAAAAAAAACTAGTTGTTGAAGTGTGTTACATATTTTGTAACAAATTTATAACACCCTCGCCGTGCACGACAAGCTGACAAATCTAATGTACATTTGTCGCCTGTCCAAAAAACACAAATAAACAATTAACCGCGCAAACAACACGACATATTAAGTGGAACGCGAACAAGAGGGCTAAATAGCTTTACAAAAACAACAACAACAGCAACAGCAACAACAACAACTGTTTCAGCCCGAAAGCAATAAAATGCCAAAGTGGCTGCTGTGAACATCAAATGTCAATAAATTAAATTGTGTCCTGGGCCCGGGCCCTGGCACAGGATCAACATTATTGCATTTAGTGTCATATGTTAGACGTTTGTTTTCATTCCAACGGACTTGCCATTTATTTGTGCTGTGTATTATATTGGGTGCATAAAATGTTGCCCCCGGGCATTGTTGCGCTCCAATATTTAGCCACGGGGCGCAGGCAGAAAGGCAGGTTGGCAGGCAACTGGCAGCTACTGCTAATAAGCTCAGGTTTGAGGCAGCTGCCCCAAATCCCCGGCTCATAATTTCGCAGATATTCATCAGTTATTTTAATCAGTTCTCGATAGGTCGGCGGGTCGCCAACGCAATTTGTTTCATGTGCAAACATAATCAACGTCTTCCCGTCGCCCACGCGAATCTAAACAGATTTTTTGGCGAACTCTAGGGAAATCGCAGAGCGTCGGAGATGGGAGACGACGCCTGGAAAACATCCGGCGTAGACAACAACAGTTAGAGGGCGCACGGTAGTGGGGGCGTGGCTGTAAGTGGTTCCAGAGGTTGAAGCGCTTTTTAGGCGGGCACACGTACCGACAAACTAATTGAAGTTATTGTTTTGAGATACATTGTTGTTGTTGTTGTTGTTGTTGTTGGCGCTCGGTGTTTGTGTCTAAGCATTTCCGTTTATTTGTTACGCAAACAAAAACAAGAAAAACAAGTTGAGAAAACACAAGAAAACAAACCAACACCCAGCAATGGGAAGACGACAGAAAAAGAAACCAGGAAGGCAGGAAAAACAATATCAATTCAAGTTGAAATTACGAGCTTCAATTGTGTTTTCTTGCCATGGCCACTTTTTCTACTTTTAGTTTCCGTGCGCGCCACAAAAGTGTTGCCAGTCACCCAAGCTGGCTGAAAAGAAGCAACACACACACTCGCACACACACACCTTGCAACCAAAAACAAAACGTGTAAAATGAGCAAAAAGAGTTGGCGGCAAACTTTTAAGTACTTAAATGTGTTGTCGTCGCTTGAGCTGCAGCTCGCGGTTTGCCCTTTGCCCCCTTTGCCGCACTTAACCGAAATTGAGTTTCCGGGCTTTGTGTTGTCTGTTTCTCTTACTATTTTAGGTGCCTGCTGCTCTTTGCCAGCAGATTGTCACTGAAGTCGCGTCCTCTGTCAACGGCTCATCTATCGCCAATTTCGATTTTGTGTTTATTTTGAACTTTTGCGTTCAAGTGACGCATGCTAAATAAATCGCCTGTTGTTCAAGTCGTATTCAATTTGTCGCCCAACTTTTGGTGGGGCCACAAAAAAAGGGTGTAGAGGGGGAGAGGGGGGCACAGCTGATGGGGCGCCGCAGCGCCTCAGCACCGCTTTGAATGCGCGTATTCGCAAATCGAAATCTGCATAAGCGATGTGGCATGCAACAGCAATGGCAATGGCAATAGCAATTGCAACGAGCAATTGCCCGCCCGCGGCAATAAAACGCGACTGAGATGGCGTTGTCCACGCCGACATGACAACAACAAGGTCAAAACGGATGCCCCACATCCCCGCGCACACCCTTTCATGTGCCATTGTCAACATCCTTCAAAGTTTGCCAGCGCAAACAAATAAATATGTAAGTGCGAGCACAAGTACATACAGGGACTGGCGGGAGACTCAAATACACGCACAGCTGCAGATCTAGATACAGATATAGCTACAGATACAGATACAGCTAGAGGCACAGCTATATAGATACAGATACAGTTACAGTTACAGCTACATATACTAAACATG